CAGGATATTTAGATGTAATGGTCATATAAATGTGTGTTAGGTTTTGATGGAGGAGTTGCATTCACTTGCTTGTTAAAAATTATTTCATTTACAATAATACTAATTACTTTTATTATAGCTACTGTAATTTTTCAGTGTTTATCTTTTTTAGCCGCAAAACTAATGCACAAATACGGTGCTCACGGCTGTACTGACATCACCGGTTTTGGTATATTGGGCCATGCGGAGAACCTGGTCCGAATTCAACAGTCCTCGGTCCTTTTTCATATACACACACTACCTTGTCTTGCTGGAGCTTGCCAATTAAGCAGCCTCTTAGATGACCGATTCAAACTGTTCTCTGGATTATCGCCAGAGACTTCAGGTATGTAGGATCTGCTTGTTTTGTCCTCATGTTTTCCCTCTTTTCCCTAAAACTCGAAGTTGAATTCATTGTTTTCTAGGTTTGTGGCGTCTATTTTCCTAAATCTTCTTATATATGTATACGCTTTTCTCAGGCCATCTAATCACCCTTGCTAATTTTTCTCGTCATATGGGTCATAAACTTGTTAAAACTAAAATCTGTACATTCGGAGAAATTGGGGGTTTCGAAGAATCTCCTGAGGTGAGACTATTATAAAGACTTTCGTTTCGTATGGAAGTACATGATGAAGAAATTCGTAGGTCAATCTCACCAGGAATTATCCACATCCTTTTATATTCATCTATATCTTAAATTATGCTCGCAGTGAGTATATCATATAGAAATAAGCTGTTTACTCTTCTTGACTTAGTATTAACTTAAGGCCTTGGCAAAAATGAGTCCCAGCTCTCACGCTGTTCATCACATTTTGAACGAAAGACAGACTGTATTCGCCTGAATCGTTGGAGGATGCTTTTGACTGCATTAACCTGAACATTGCGATAAATCCAAACAGCTGCATTACTTCTTGTGTATTCTGTATAAACTAAATAGCATGCTAGAAATGATGAAGGGATGGAGGCTAAAGTAGCATAGCCACGGAAATATAAGTAAAATTTAATCAACCCACATTATTAGGGGTTTGCCCAAGGCTCAAACCGAGGTTTTCGTGGAAATTACCGTTGAATCCTATCTAAGGAAAGGTAAACTCGATATTACTGCTGTCCGCACTCACTTTCGAGTCTGCCACCGGTCCAGCTGCACACTTCGGGTTAGTGTCCTGTTTGCACACTTGCAAGCAGGTAGATTTACTCGCGTTCACATTTTTGCACAAAAATACACATGATTTATGTTAGCTGTCCAATCGCAACCGTATCACCATCATAAGTAATCCACATTTATTTGATACGACACTCGCAACTCTATCACGCATCCTTAAACATGAGGCAGCCAACAAAACTCCAAGATATCCCTGAGACAGTCAGATTACAAGAAGTATGTGAGGTTGCAGCCCATTACCTTTCTTTTCTCAGTTCTTGTCATATATAAGACGTAAAGTAGAGCCGGACAGTTTTCTTGACCTAGCTTTAACTTGAGACTTACAAATATGCTATATCACCGATGATATTTATAATATGATAGACGAAAGCTTAGCCCGGTTTCCTCCTAATCGAAAGAGAATATCTCGTGGACTGCGCCAACATTAACCTCCTATTAAAGCCAAATGCCTGCAGAACAACGGGAATCGGTTGTCGTTTTACTGTGATATCAACTTACGAATCTCTTCATCATGGACTTTCAGACGAAATGAAAGTTCACCTAACAATGTTATCTTAAGAGATTAATCGAAACTTAGTTATTCTTTATATCTATCCCACGGTTTATGATTGCTCTGCACGCATCCATCGGAGTTGAAAGAATGTGTGTGTGGGCTTCACACACAGTCACAATTCCAAGGCAATCGTTTTTTTCGTTTATAAGTAGGTTTTCAAACCTACCGGTAGAGAATATATATGAAATATGTTCATGCCATTTGGTTAAGGTTCTTAAGGATTGCTAGTTGAAATTTTTACACAATGGTCAACGCATCGAGATTATACACTGCACTACTAGAGTTCCAGTCTCACTGGGGATGCTGATGAAAACTATGCGAGGTCGAAACTGCCGTCCAACCTGAATGGGTTTATCTAAAATGCAATCGAAGCGTAAGGCCTACCCGTATAAGTGTGGGAAAATGCTAATGCTATTTATTCATCATCTTAAAATAAATAGTTTAAATACATATATATGTTTTATTTTTCATTGTGAGCTGGCCCAAATTTAATTCTCTGCATTTTTTATTTCCATACATTAAAAACTTCTTTTCCTTATTATCGATATCGTTACTTTGCTCTTAAACAGGTGGTCTTCTAGTTGCTCTTCCGGCAAAATCTGCTGAGACCTTCTGCAGGGAGCTTACTGAGATCGACGGCAATCCTGCCTGGATAATAGGAGAAGCATTGACTAGTACTGAGCGCAAGGTGATTCTCGCTGAAAAGCCTGTTATCTTGGAAGTCAACCATTGCGACGTTCCACAATCCGCTGTCTGTTGCGAAAATTAAATTTTATCTTTTTGCGCGTTTGACTTTTTACTTCATAAAGCCACGTTTGAATTACATGCTTGACTTCGACATTCTGCTTAAATTGACGCAGCTATCATGTTTAATCTTTACCTTTTTTTCCAAACTGATCACATGAAGACCTTTTATCCTTCAATAATTTCCCCGAATAGCTTCTTTTCTTTTTCCTCATCTGTTCCCTTAGAATATTCTCCTTTTACGTTTTTTCCATTACATTCGCTGATCTATGATGTCGACAGCGTAAAGAGTTATAAAAAAACTCCCGCTATTCGACTGATGTTATTGGCCATTAATTTATTTTTATTATATTTTTTCTAGAATAAACTGACTCAGACTATTTTTTATTTTCTGTTTGCAAAATGCTCGATTTGAGAGAGGGGCTATTGAAAAAGGGGTGAGGGCATCTGATTATTCTTTCCTCATACGTGTTTATACGTATGCATGTGTTGGGAAATAATTTTATTAATTCATTTACTTTTTGTAAATTAACTCAGTATAATGATTTTACTTGTATTCAATAAAATCTAGCTATTATGTTTTAGTATTCTCAAGTATCCTTAATATTGGACAGATTTCAATGGGTATAAGCATTCAAGGTTCTTACAAAATTCGTACACTTATTCCTCCATCCTAATAAGGTTAAATAGGTTCTCCTTTCTTCTACAGTTTTATCGATTATTTGATTAATAATTATCCTATCTTATTGTAATTCAGTTTGCCAGATCCTAGGTGTGTCTACAAATACGAGGATATAGTAAGAAATATGCAAATGTAGCCATAATTCATAAACGGAACGAACTATTCTTTTGAGCGATATGGAGGGTCGTGGTATGCAGAAAATACACTTGTGTAAATTAAAGGACTTAGGCTAAAAATGAATTGGCTGATATCCTGGCAGCGATGACGACAGGCTGCCTGCGATAATGACATCTGGGGGATACTGGTCTATTCAGTCTATGTGGTTCGGGAATAAATATACATAGTTCATCCTGCATCCAGCATCAAAACACGGGGTCTTTCAGAAAATGGGCAAAATGGTGATAATATGAGGACACTACTTAATTCACGTTTTAAGGCTGATACAAAGGGCAGGAGGGGTATTTTTGTGCATCTGACTCCTTAAGCATACATGACCTTACTAGTTAGGGAGACTGAGGCACAAGAAAATGTACAAGTAGGAGAGAGGAATGAAATGGTTAATCTTAGCTGCACTCTGTGCGTTTATTGCAGAAAAGCTCGGTGTATGAGTTTGCAGAGATGGATCAAAGTTCGATGTTGACTACAGAAGAATAAGTCGAGGAGATAAGATGAGGGAAACTTTTGTGATAATCTGGCGCATGACAAAGAGAGTTCGTGATGTCTTATTCATGGCTACCGTTGAGCCTCTATATGAGATGAATTCACCCTATTTCGCTTAGGATGATTAAGAACTGATAATTAAATTTTCCAACAATTATATGAGTAGATCTTACGTTTTCATTTCATTTCACATAGATTTACTTCCGAAAAGGGTTCGATTGCAGTTTCAACCTCGCCAGTTTAAAAATGACGTCAAACTACCAAATTGGACCCTAAATCACAAGTCAGATGTGAATTTCAAGTAAAGCCAGGCCTTTTCTATTCTCACATTCTGTTGTGGGATTGCCGATTAAGCAAAGTTGTAGTTGCTATAGTTATCGATAAGGCTACTTATTTTTCGTTTATAAGTTGATTCTAGAGACTGCCAGTAAGGTTCATTCACCCCATTTCGTTTAAAATAAGGAAGGACGGGTAATTGAATTTCCCCACAATTATATGAGTAGCCCTTACCTTAAACGAAATAGGGCGAGTCAATCTCGTATTTGATGTGCTGGTAGTTTCGAGAACCTATTTATAAAAGAACGTCGGTCTTTACCTAGTTCAGATTCGTGTTAAATATTCCTTGCACTCAATACTTTTTTGAAGTGACAGAAGGACTTGAACCTAATCCTAGGTTCGCCATTCGAAGAAAAGCAACACTTTAAACTAAATTAATGGTACCAACCAGATAAGAACTTCAAAAGCATTGTAGGAAGCACAGCTGAACGTTGGAAAGGCTATTAAATTGTGGACGATGCTTGAGTCTAGGGAATGGTTATTATATTTTACAATGCCAGAGTTGATTTGGTCCAAAGTACCCTAACGTGACTAAACAGACTTGGTGAGCATAATTTGTGCAGTGAGTTACTACAGTGTAATAGCATCGATTAAAGATATATCGAGGTACGCGCTTTGACTGATCAAATTGGGCTGTTGGCATAAG